AGGGGGTAATGGTGCAATGAAGTGTGTATGAACTACTGCATGCAGGGGTAGGGGGTAATGGTGCAATGAAGTGTGTATGAACTACTGCATGCAGGGGTAGGGGGTAATGGTGCAATGAAGCGTGTATGAACTACTGCATGCATGGGTAGGGGGTAATGGTGCAATTATGGGGGTTATGAAGTGTGTGAACTATTGCAGGGGTAGGGGGTAATGGTGCAATGAAGTGTGTATGAACTACTGCATGCAGGGGTAGGGGTAATGGTGCAATAATGTGTGTATGAACTACTGCATGCATGGGTAGGGGGTAATGGTGCAATTATGGGGGTTATGAAGTGTGTATGAACTATTGCATGCAGGGGTCGAGATCCAAAATATGGGATGCGTATAACCAAGAGTCCATGGACACTATCGTTGGCAGTTCCCAATCTAGGGAAAGGTTCAAGGACTCATTGACCGAGTTTGCCAAATAAATTCGCATATCAAGGAAAATCTCCATTGTGGAGAGGTTCAGTAACTTGTTTGCTTCATACGAAACGAGCCAATGGGTGCAGTCTCGTGAAAATCTCGTACTTGTATGATTGCATTTGTTTACTCGAGTCTGGGCTGTTTGATTTGTGAGTATCGCCGAGATTGCACTGCCCCAAATAAAGTTTCGTGCCGCTAATGCAAGAATTACGATCTGCAATCTGTTTGTAGTACTCTTGGTAGTACCTGTAGTACCTGCAAGAATGTGCAGTCCGTGTATCGTACTTTCTCTGTTGCTGTTACAGTTGCTGTCAAGTTGCTAAAGAAAGGTTCAGTAGAGAGGTTCTGCAAAACGAAAATTCGAACGAAGTTTCACGACAGTCCTTGCGAAAGTGTGTGCGAATTTTTGCACGAACTTTGCGTTCTGCAGATTTTCGTAGTTTGCGCGGGCCAAGTGCACGTACGCCATGACCCGATCTCACGAAATTTCCTACGACAGTTCATTTCGTGTTCCCTGCAAGTTTCGCTTCCAAAGTTGCGAAAGTTCGTGCGAAGTTTCGCACCTCCTGATGTAGAGGGAAAGTTTGTACGCATTTTCGTTTTGCAGAACCTCTCTAGTGACTCTTTTGTTTGATACGAGACGAGTCAATGAGTCGGTGTGGCTTAGAATCTTTCGCTGTAGAATAAATCTATTCGTATGTCTATTTGAGAAATAATTGTATTCACTGGTTATAAAATAGGTTAAGACAAACTCACAGAATAAATACCATCGGTCCCTTGGTGTTCGTCCTAAAGAGGTTCGACTGGATATCATTCATACTCACCAAAAGATGTGTAAGATTTTATTATCATGGAGTGCCTGTTTATCTCTCAGTATCAGTACCTCCAACCATAGCCTTGACCCTTTTATCCTCAGGATCAGTGTAGTTGTTGGAACGAGGTGTCGGACTCAGCAATGTATTTGTTTGCATTTAATACATGTTTATTGTTCCTCCTTTGCTGTGTTGTTTTAGAAAATCGTGGACTAACAGTTTGAAGTCATTGAACTACTTCCAAAAGTTGTATCGACATCAACAGGATTACGATTTCCGTGCAATATGATGGTGGATGACCTTATCACGATAACCCATGATTATAAACCAATATAAACACAGAATCAACAAAAACATCTGCGACACGCACCTGCCGCATGGCTACATTTCTCAAACAAATCTGATCGAGGGTGGGGAAATCTGAAATATCTGAAAGGCACGACTCATGCATAACCTTCCTAGGGGCTCCCGTAAGAAGACCATAGATCTGTGGGAAGCACCCTAGTAAAAAAAAAAAAAATTCACGGTTCGCGTGAGACTCGGCTGGAAGCCGGGCTTTCCGCATCCGTAGGAACGCCACCACCCTTCAAGGATCAAGGCGCAGCCTAGTAAAATAAAAGTAAATAATAATAGTTTCCTCTGAGACAAAAATGCGATAATATGTATTTCACCTGATGAGAAGGCTTGAAAGTATACTTGTGAAGACAAAAACTTTCAAGATGTTTGTAATGAGCCTGAAGTGTGTCCTTTTTATGAGTATAAATAATAATAATAAGACAAATTTATGACAGAGTCATGAAATTCTGCAACAGCAACATGCACAGAGTGAACTCCGTATAAAAAAGTATAACCACCACTACTCACATGTTCACCTGCAGGAGAACATGCATTATCATGCTAGTGCCATTTTCTGCCACAAAAGGCTTGCACATCAATGCGTATAATACGGTATTGATATGATCAAGAGTGCATAAACCTCTTGATATGATGTGAAGGCCATCATTTACATAATTATTGATACAGGCAAGAGTACATAACCCCGGGGTTATGTACTCTTGATATAGGGCATTCCGTTGATTGGTGACAGAAAAAACAAAAGAAATTATAGCAATAAAAACTGCTTTATGGCAGTTTTCTAAAAAAGGTTATTGTGTTCTAGTCCATGGACCCCGTCCAAAAAGTAAGAAATTACCGAAATGTGATAGCTGGAAATTAAAATTTCACACAAAACCTCACAATAATCACACACAGAATTAATTGCTACATGTAGAAGACCTTTTCCCCTCGTGATCCTCTTTCCTATGCATGCATGTTGCCAATTGTTGGTGCAGAACAAGTTAAAGTTGAAAGCAGCATTTCAAGTGTTGTCAGTGATTATTGTGAGGTTTTGTGTGAAATTTTAATTTCCAGCTATCACATTTCGGTAATTTCTTACTTTTTGGACGGGGTCCATGGACTAGAACACAATAACCTTTTTTAGAAAACTGCCATAAAGCAGTTTTTATTGCTATAATGAACTACTGCATGCAGGGGTAGGGGGTAATGCAGCAATGAAGTGTGTATGAACTACTGCATGCAGGGGTAGGGGGTAATGGTGCAATGAAGTGTGTATGAACTACTGCATGCAGGGGTAGGGGGTAATGGTGCAATGAAGTGTGTATGAACTATTATCCCATGGTACGGTACTATAGGCCTGTTTCAGCCAATCAGGAGCCTTGCTGACCGGGAAATAATAGCCAATACAATCCCGCGCGGGATGATATTCATTATTAACTGGGTTCACTTTTACCGTACCTACTACGGTGCACCCTGCATTGGCATGCCCCCACCCCTCTCGATTCGGTGCAATGCATCTTGCCACTGGAGTCCTTTCGATCAGAACCCAGCGATAAAATGCACTACACAGAACCGTGAGAGGGTGGGAGCATGCCAAAGCAGAGTGCACCGTCGGTACAGTAAAAGTGAACGGAGAGAACTTACCTCCGCGACTACGTCCAAAACCAGATTCCACACAAACAAACAACGAACTCCAATCACTATTCAACTCAACACTACGACACAAAGGAGACTTCGAAGTTCATCAGTTCTCATTCACTCTTTGTAAACTCGAAAACTACACAAAGTATCACCATCCGAGTGAAAATTACTAATTGCAAGGAGAGATACCGAAACAACACGAAAAGTACAAGACGTGAAAGTGAGAGGAAAAATCTTGTACAGAATATTCAACAGTGTGAAAGAAGAAGAGCGTAGCAATCCATGTGTGATGTAGATAAGATATGGATGCAAGATGCGACCCGCAGTGATTATCATGACATTGTATCCAGTACGATTACCACAAGAACAATCTAAAACGTAGATGCTGCTACAAATCCAGTATGCCTAAATATAACAAGATCAACGGTCTTCTGATTGCATAGTGGCCGATAGTGAAACAACCAAGAGTCTTGATACAACGAAATGCTCTTTACTCACTGGTACCAATGTCCGACGATATGTACAATGTGGTTACTGCCTGCACGGACAGTGTTCAGCAAGGATCCCAAACCGTTGAAAGTAATTAGTTCCACGCCGATCCAATGACAAGGAAGTCAGCACCAGCATCCATAATGACGTTGTATCTCGTCGTGACTTGAAGTATGGCCCTTACTTTGAACCAAATGACTATGTATCATAACAGTGCAATCTTCGTCAATTCTCTAGTCCAACTACTAAAATGCAACTTGTCTCCCGAGCTCCATCGCTCTCAAACCTTGACTGGATTGAAAAGAAAGGCAGCATTTTGTTTTTGGTATAGCTGTACCTTGGTAATTGTATTCAGAACGCAGTTGCGTCGATCCCCAAAATGCGTAGATGTACCTGGGATAAGTAGGATATTGACCCGCGTACTCGGGTGTTACCGTACCCTCATATCATCCCTCCTGCTACGCAGTCGGGATGATATTCGGGAGGTAACACCCTCGTACTTGGGTAATATCCTATACCTGCATGCAGGGGTAGGGGGTAATGGTGCAATGAAGTGTGTATGAACTACTGCATGCAGGGGTAGGGGGTAATGGTGCAATGAAGTGTGTATGAACTAATGCATGCAGGGGTCGAGATCCAAATATGGGATGCGTATAACCAAGAGTCCATGGACTCTTGGTATAACATAACATGCTGTCAAAATCGAAAAACATGTCTGGACTCTGCCAACCGGGTTATGGCTGTAGTCAGGAGAACTACGTATACGTACGCGTCCTCGCCTTGTATTACATGCTGTCAAAATCGAAAAACATGTTAAACTACCAAGCAAGGCTTGTGTGTACGTGTAGTGCATGCGAGATTTGCGAGGTCATTCCCGAACGCAAATTGAATCGCGATTTTCCCAGGGGTCAGCGCATTGCGAGATTTGCGAGGCCATTCCCGGGCGCAAATTGAATTGTGGATCGCGCTTCAGCCCAACCGCGACCCACGCAACCCGCGGCGCATGAGCTCAGTTATAACAAGAGTACATGAAAACCAGAGTGTGCAGCTTGGGGCCTTTCTGCTATGGGTGTCTGTCACGGCGAAATTCCGTACATCATATTTGGCCCAGATCTGAGGCGGGAAATGGCGTAGTGCGTACAACTGAGCTGCAGGTGTGCAGAAAGAGACCTGCTTGAATCCTGCTTGTACGCACTACATCCCTAAAATGATTTAATCACGGAATTTCGCCGTGACAGCAACCCATCCGAGCTGCACACTCTGGTTTTCATGTACTCTTGGTTATAAGGGCTTCACCTTCAGTCCCCTTCTCAGTTGCTTTCTTGTATCGCTAGAGGGAGGTTTGACTACACTGGACTTTGAGGAGTTGTCTTGGAGTGGATCTGCTATCTATGCGGTAAGTTCTATTCGTTTTTGTGAATGTATATGAGAATAGGTGTGCTGTCCGAGCGGGAGAGGATTAGCTTGTACATGTACCTCAATGTGCCTCTATCAGGACCCTCTCTAAGGTTGCGTTTGTTCGGTGCCATTCCGCCACCATTCCAAAGTCATTCCGCCGTGTTTTGGTTCCGGAGCGGTTTTTTTGATACACTCGAAAGCGTTTGTTCGGTGCAATTCCGATTCCGGTCGCGGAATGAAGGGGGCAGAATCGTTTCTGGCGATTCCTAAGAAAAAGTGGAATGAGGTTTCATTCCGAGCGGAATGAAAATGCGCGGAGGGGCTTCGTTGCTGCTGCATACCTGTACCTCACCAACAAAACAAAACTTCAAACTCGATTATCGATACTATGTACAGGAATGTTGGCGGACATCGTCCAGGATATAGGCTGGTACTGGGAATGACCGAACAAATGCAACCAAATTTTAATCTTTTTCAAACCCTTTATGTACCGTAACGTACTTGTGTATCAGTGTCTTTCAGTGGTAGATTTTCTTGTGACCTGACAGGAGCAGACAATGCTTGCAAACGCAAGCACAAACAGCAAAACAGGGAGTTGCAGTAATAAAGAATATTCTTTCATTCACTCGTTACCATCAAGAACGTTTGATTACTGAGAGACTGTGTTTATTTCGGCCCTATCCATGAGTTAGTGGAGTGTACGCACATGGCGCCAGTATGTTCAATCACGATCACTACCCCTTCTTAAATGGAAAGGTATGCACTAACTAATACTGTTTTATAGAAGATATTCTGATGCAGAGTATCTACACTCGAATAACTGGCATATGTGCCAAGTAAGCAAGAACAGAACAGTGCAAAGTGGAAGTGGTATGACCTTACCAAACTTCAGTACTGCATGTTGCCACTCTTCAAGCACTCTTTTCTACCGATCGTCAGCTAGCGTTTTGAGGGTAATGCAATTGGCAACTTCCAGTTGTGATGTTGGCTGTTCTACATGTATATGATCTTGTTGGCTATTGCTTGGATTCTATTTTGCAACAACTCCAGTTCATTGTTTTGCATGTACTGTTAACAGGTGGAAGATGGGATCTATTTTATTGCTTGCACTATGTATGTTGGCTTCAATGCTGCACACAATAAATTGTGCTGAAGGTAAGACTTTAAAAAGATATTCAGTGTCATTTTCTATCCTTTTGCTCGGAACTTGCAATGACAATTGTAATATTCCATTACATTACATTTCTGTAATTTCGGGTGCGGGGAAAATTAACATGATCAACCTGTTGCCATGGCTCCCCACTGTGTCACATATTAGCAAAAGACTTTGTAGTGTACTTCGTACCTTGAGTCAACTTTGAGGCACATTGTAGTCTAGTTCCAATGTCAGATTTGTGATGGCTTGTTCACATAATTATGTTGACAACAAACCGCAAAATGAAACATTCTATGAAGTACTCAATGACCTTCATATAGGTCACAAAATTATATGTGAGTCCGAACAGTCTGGAAAACAATTCGGGTGGATAAAACTGATTTCCAGCGGTCATTACAATATTACACAACGATAAAGCACGACTTTTTTCAACCCTTCTTTACGCGCAAAAGTTAAATTTAAAAATTTAAAAATTAACACAATGGATTAAAATGCAATACGACATACACTGGAGAAGAATAAGAAAAATGCACGTGTAAAAATAAAGATTTTCAAACCCAACCCAAACAGAACTTCAAATCAAAACTTTATGAAACAAAATAAATAATTCTCACCAAACTCCATCAATAAACTCAATTCAAAGGAGAAAAAACATCAAAACAAAACAAAAAACATTGTATGAATTACGTCATAACACTACTGTCTAAGGTATTCAATTGTTTGAGGGAAAGACAGAAACAAAGTCTGAAAAAAAAAAAGACTCACCACCAGGACTCGAACCAGGTACCCTCACTTGTAAGGGTGAGGGTACCTGGTTCGAGTCCTGGCGGTGAGTCAATTTTTTCTTCAGACTTTGTTTGACTTTGTTTCTGTCTTTCCCTCAAACAATTGTCGTGATAAATCTAATATTGACTTCGTACTTGGTCAGTATAGGAAATAAAAACCTCGTAAAAGACCTCGGCTTTGCCTCGGTCTTTTACTCGGCTTTTATTTCCTATATTGACCTCGTACTCAGTCAATATTAGATACTTAGAAAAACCAAGGTCCCCCGATGTTTTTTATTAGTTTTTATTGGTCATAAACCCAAGGCCGGAGCATTTATTGCATTTAAAATCAACCAGTAAAAACTCCTACTCAATCTCCAACAACAAAATTAGTGGACAGCTGTTATTTGTGTTGCTATGACAACTCGTGTGCTGGACGAGTATTTGTTGTCATTGGTTCAATTTCTTTTACTCTTCATAGGCTATCAGATCATTTTCCTTATTCGGTCTAGTTATAACCAGTATCTATAATGAGAGTGTGGTCTGTCTCCATGGTTACCGGTGTTCATTTCATAACTATAGCCACTGCTCCTTGTTTGATCTTATCTGGAAGGCCCATTCTTGCACATTCCAACAGCAGCCAAGGGAGCTGGCTCTCGTGGTTATTCAGACTGGGTCCGATCCTAAAATGCTGTTTTTATGAACTGTTTTTATGACCTTTTTTTAAAAATGTTTTTTTGGATAGGATATGATTATGTTGAATAAACGAGGTTTGTGTCAATGGGAGATTGACTTGGAGTTTTTACGAGTTGATTCTAAGAAATTTGAAACTCCATAAAAAAATGAAATAAAATAAATTATCGTGTTCGTTCCCGAAGGGAACTCACGGGGGCCGATTCCCACTCGGTACCGTGAGTGCCGTGCCGTGAGTACCCATGGTGATTTTGCTCATGTGTGGGGCAGTTTTGGCGCGAGTTCATTCCGTGGCTCCTGCCATACCGCGCCGTGGACATTCCGTTGCCGAGGGCCTCTGGGGGGTGGAAATGGCATGCCGTAGTATTCCGCGAGGTGGAATGCAGTGAGTAGTAGAGAAAAAGGTATTTTACTACTGCCTGAAAGGAAGTTTTTTCTTTCTTTTGTATTTGTGGTACGAAGTTTTTTCTTGGCGTTTGGCTTTTCGATTGGTTGAATCTTGAGCTTTCTCCAGTCATCTTCCCGGCCCCCGCTATTTTCCCTCAGGACCAAAGTCAGAATTTTTTTTAAAAAAAATGGTGATCCGGCCTGCCGACGGAATGCACGGAATGACTGTGCGCAGGTGTAAATCACTCTCAGCTTTAAGCTCGTACCGTGGGGTACACGTGACCTACCCAAATCCTCGGCACGGTACTCACGGTACCATAGTGGGAATCGGCCCTAACACCCTGTAAAACTCTACTGTAGCCTTGTCATGCTATGTTCAGTACACCGAACTGTCATATGTTCAGTACACCAAACCTTGTCATATGTTCAGTACACCCAACCTTGTAATATGTTCAGTACACCCAACCTTGTCATATGTTCAGTACACCCAACTGTCATATGTTCAGTACGAGGTCATTTGCTATTTTTGGACACTCAAATTAAATAGCACCTTATTATGTTGGTTTGTAAAAAAAATTCTTACTTTTCTATTGGCACACTTATGCTTTACCACCGCCACACACACACCTGAAGGCCTAGAGTTGAAGCGTGTGGCCACAACTTGACCTGATCGAAGGTGTCTTTTTCTACTGCTTTTTCAATGCGAGGAATTATTAGACAACTAAACGAGAGAGCTTGGAAGCTCAGGGCCCTACGTTATGCTTTTTTCCTTGATGACCTAGACAAAAAAAAGCAAAGGGATGTTGTAAATTCTTTAAAAAATTCCTTTTTTTTAAGACATAACCTGGGATTCGAACCCGCACTATCGCGCCCTGCATGCATCCCCCGATACACTTCGCATACATACTAATTCTTCCAAGTTGCTTCACATGATCTTGCATTTGAAAGCCCTATTTGAATATGCATTGTGGCCAGCCGTCTTTGATGGTACGGTACGGTAGGGATAGGTACGGGACAGGTACGATCGAGGGTAATACAACACCGTCTCCCGTACCGTGCCATCAAACACAGCTGGCCACATACAGCTGCCCACAATATTCAAATAGGGCTTTCAAACGCAAGATCATAACGTGAAGCAACTTGGATGAATGGGTATGAATGCGAAGTGTATGGGGGAATGCATGTAGGGCGATAGGGCGGGTTCGAATCCCTGGATATGCCTGAAAAAATAGGAGAATTGAAAAATTTATAACATCCCTATGATTTTTTGCCGTCAGATACGGGATAGCGCCAGGCGTGACACAAACAAACAAACAAACACACAAACAAATACCAAATTAAAGCTGTGTGGACCCTGGCTAGCGCCAGACGTTACTGAAGTAACGTCTTCTGCATAACTACGGGAATTAAATAGCATCTAGCAGCAGTCTGCAATGGTGTGGACAAGTAAACTTGCACAGGACATGAAAATGGGGTAAGGCTATGCTTATGAGACCGGCTGATATGAGTTCTAATGACGAGCCGTTCATAGCAAGCTTTTCAAGGTTGTTCAATGTGACACACAATTTAAAGTGTCACCCAAGGGTTTCATGGACGTCATATTCAAGAACAGAGGAGAGCACTCCAGTGTGGCGCATCTCCTTCTCATATTTCGCAAAGAGTGAAGGGCTAGCGCCGTAACTAGCCGCTGCGTCCTTCTTTGTTAGGAAGTGGTCACTGGGGCCAGGTGAGTGGAACGCTCGCACTGCTTAAAGAGATTTATCCTGACCAGAACTCCTTCACAAATGCACGGGCTGAGAAGACGAGGAGACTCTTACTGTATTTAATCCACTGTTCCTGTTCCTTTTCCCTTGCCTGTATTTCACCTGACGAGAAGGCTTGAAAGTATACTTGTGAAGACAAAAACTTTCAAGATGTTTGTAATGAGCCTGAAGTGTCTCCTTTTTATGAGTATTATTTACTATTTAATCGAAATTTTCGAAATTACTCAAAACATTACCTAAAAATAGCAAAGAAAACGCCCAGAAAGAAACGGCTTTCGCCGCTAAAAATAGGAAGGAAGGAACTTGAGGACCACACGAAGACACTCTTGTCAAAGATTTGTCCACCAAGGAAAGGGCAACGACTCAGGAGGACTCTACTTCCATATTTAACTTATTTGTCCAAAAATTGCGAATCACCTCGTACACCCAACCTTGTCATATGTTCAGTACACCCAACTGTGATATGTTCAGTACACCCAACTCGCAACACACGAACATGGCATCATCAGGGATATCACTGATGATGCCCTCCTGGGTGAAAATGTGGACAATTTACTGTACTTGGTGTAAGCAAGGACTGTTTGTGTGTTGCGAGTTGGGTGTATTTCCTCCGTTAACACAAACTTGGTGATGAATTATGAATTTTGGGCTGAAACGATTATACGGAAAAATCGAGTACTCGTTTGATAACTCTAACGATCGAGTGATCGTTTAGATTACCGATTACGATTATTTTGCGTTATTTAAACTTGTGTCCAGAAAGAACTGTAAACCCTCGTTTTTGCGAAGTTTTAATCAGTTTCCGCTGGGAGTATGCAGTTGCCAGGGTATGGTTCATGTTCTGAGGTTAAATTGACTTCAAAACTGCCATGTTTCGGAGCTACTCTTTCACTAATGCAGATTTGTTGGTATTATGAAGGCATAGGCCGTGATCGTTTGGTCGGATCCAGATCCAGATCCATCGGATCCACTGGATCTGCAATGATCGATTGGTCGAATCCGGATCCAGATCCTTCGGATTTGGATCCGAGCAACCCTGCCCCGGGAGCAGGGTTGACTGGATCCATCGGATCCAAATGTGACCTTTGTGCGTATATGGTGGGTAAAAATCATTTTTATACTCATTGTCGTACGTCTAGTGGACTTTTGTTGACTTTTCGTACGACGCGGGCGATCAGTACGACTTTTGCCTTTTTTGGGTGACCTGTCAGCGCCATTTTTTACTTCGTCAACATGGCAACAGCCAAGGTCCGCAAAAAAGTGTTCGGTTGATTCTGAAGGATCCGACGGATCTGAGATTTGGATCTGGATCTGGATCCGACCAAACGATCATAGCCTTAGTTTGTGGAAACAGAGTAATGTTTGCACAAAATTATGACTCTATTTGCTAAC